TTTTTTTTTTTTTAATATTCTTAGCTGTTAGCTGCTTTAGCGGTGTCAATGTCCTCTTTGATGATCGGTTACTCCACTTCCTACACGTCCCCTGCTTTAGTTTCGATGCGAGATAACACGACAGCCACATTCGAAGTAACTATGGATATGGTAAGTAAAAAAGTGCAAAAGTGGATATGTAAAAAGAAAAAAAGATTGTTTTTCTCTATCATGAATAAAATTGTTTTCAAACAAACGTGCTTCGCAAGAATGTCGGATAATCTTGAGTATTTCGGTGAAACGAAAGACAATGTTATCTGGATTCTCTTCTTATCAAAACCGAAAACCAACCGAAGGTCAAACGATTCGTAACAAGGCACGTTTGTTTTCAAACGTATTCCGATTACGCGAGACTTCCTCCTCGAACGACCGATTCACCGTAAATTCTTGCGATCGATTCGCATATTTACATTCAAATAACAACGCATGACGCGATGCATTGTCAAATCGGTAATATGAAGGAAGGGTCAATAAATGATTAAGTCTTTAACCCATCGAGTGCGTCAATACGATATAGATTCGAAACACATTTTTCATTCGACCCCGATTGTTAATAGCTATGCTATCGACGTGTCTTGTCCAACCTCGATTGGTAATTGGTTCGTTCATGATCGATGCAATTATATCCGTACATTGTTACGACACGAGTCTTTTACCGCAATTTATCGCGATTAATCGCGATTTACCATAACCTTCAATTATTTGACGATATGCCACCTGGAGATTTACTCGACAGGAACAGATCTTTGTACAAGTACCTACTTCTGGATTCAAGTCAATGTCCCTCGTCTTCCCTACCAATTCCAACTTACAAAAATCGAGGTCTGTATAAGCATATTAACATTTCCTTTTTTTCTTTCTTGCTTGCTTGCTTCCTTCCTTTCTTTTTTTTCTTTTCTATCTTCCTTTTTTCCTTTACATTTTTTTTATTCTTCGGATGTATAATTGTATTTAAGATCAGCGCATCCACTAATCTTTGAACATCAAAAGCGGGAAGACATAATATAATTTGCTTATATATTTTTAACAAGAAAATCGTAGCTCGAAATTTTAAAACGAAATGATTGAGAAGTAATCGTATGAAATTTTCGTTTCAGGCTATGTGGATAGGATCGATCATGCCACTGAGCGCTCTTATTGGAGGCATAATCGGTGGTCCATGTATTGAATATATTGGTAGAAGAAACACTATTCTAAGCACTGCTTTACCGTTTCTTGCAGGTATGTTTGCATTTTTATTATAATTATGCAACAGATAATTGTGTTTTACTCATTCTATTCATGATAATATGCATGACAATCCTAGATTGTGAAATCAATTCAATATTAATATAATGTTATTATATTAATATATTATATTATATATTTTAATTATAATTAAAAAAAAATAATATCTTTCAGGCTGGCTATTTATCGCACTAGCAACAAATGTTGCGATGATATTGGTTGGCCGTAGTATATGCGGTTTCTGTGTCGGTATTGCTTCTCTTTCCTTGCCAGTTTATCTTGGAGAATCTATACAACCAGAAGTACGTGGCTCACTTGGTCTCTTACCAACCGTCTTTGGTAATTCAGGTAAGTTTATCGAATTATATTTTATATCAATCATTATTCATGTCAAACAAAACTTAATAAGTTTTCTTTTCTTTTTTTTCTTCGGTCTCTTCAGGGATCTTAATGTGCTTCACAGCTGGAATGTATCTAGCTTGGCGAAATCTTGCATTACTAGGTGCCTGTATACCAATAATATTTTTGATTCTGATGTTCCTAATTCCTGAAACGCCAAGATGGTATATTTCGAAAGGGAAAATAAAAGAGGCACGAAAATCGTTGCAATGGTTGCGGGGCAAAACTGCCGATATTAGCGAGGAATTAGATTCCATTCAAAAAATGCATATCGAAAGTGAACGTATCGCTACAGAGGGTGCTTTCATAGAACTTTTCAGGAAAAATCATATAAAACCGGTTTTTATTTCGCTTGGCTTAATGTTCTTTCAACAGTTTTCAGGAATCAATGCGGTCATATTTTACACAGTTCAAATTTTCAAGGTATATCGCATTCTATAATTTTTACCATATCTATTTGCAAATTAATGAAAAATCAAAGTTTAATTTTCGGATTTTTTCAATTATATTTTCTTCAGGACGCTGGAAGTACTATAGATGAAAATCTTTCCACCATCATCGTAGGTCTTGTAAATTTCATTTCAACGTTCGTTGCAGCAATGATCATAGATAGATTAGGTCGAAAAATGTTGCTTTATATAAGTAGTATACTAATGTGTATAACTTTATTCACATTCGGTACTTTTTTCTATGTGAAAGAATTAATGGATGTTACTGCATTTGGTTGGATTCCACTAATGAGTCTGATCGTTTATGTGATCGGATTCTCATTTGGTTTTGGTCCGATCCCATGGTTAATGATGGGCGAAATTTTACCAGTTAAGATACGTGGTACGGCTGCCAGTGTTGCAACAGCTTTCAATTGGTCCTGTACATTCGTCGTTACGAAAACTTACGAAGATTTGGTTTCCCATATCGGCCCATATGGAACTTTTTGGTTGTTCGGTACGCTCGTAGCAGTAGCATTCATTTTTGTAATTATTTGCGTACCAGAAACACGAGGACGATCTCTCGAAGAAATCGAAAGAAGATTCGCTGGACCGGTGAGAAGAACGAGTGCGATCGCCAATTTAAAACCGATGCCAATAACCATTTAATGCTGGTTAATCGTTCCTATCATTTTCTTGCTTTATATCTTTTCTTTTTGATAATTAGTTAATCAATCTATTCGATCAACGATCAATTACGTTTCGTTTTATCAAACGAACGAATATGTATTATAGTTCATTCTGTCGATCAGAACGAACAGATTTAATAATAGTCTTCCGGATCGTCTTTTTATTTTTTTTCTGATTCTCTCTTTATTATAATCATATCGATCTTTACATATGTAATGATTGATTACATTGATCATAGCAATAAGTTCTTGATCGACGAAATTTCTATTATTGCGTTTTATCTTAGTGAAAAGAAAATTAAAGCAGAAAACATGATAAATCAAATAACAAGGAAAAAAACGTACAAAAGAAAATAATAGAGCAATAGATCAGAGAACAATAAAGAGAGTTTCGGATATTCAATTTTCTGTACTTATGAGCTATATTTGTTTATAATTAGCGATATAATCGCGAATACAAGCTCAACAAAGAAAATGATCCGTTGATTAGATATTATACGTAACCATTACTTTTCTTCTTTCATTTTAGGGTCTACCTCAAATTAGTACTTTTATTAAAGGTATATGAGTAGGTTAACAGCAAGTATGAATTATTTAATTAATACACATAATTTGTGTGCATAAATTCGCTGATATATATGCTGATATGTTGTACTTAAAAAAATATGTATAACCAGCATTTAAAGGAAAAAAACGAATTTCTTCCTTTTATACAAGCAGCGACAATAAAATTTTAACGCGACGGTCGTATATATGTATAATTCTTATACATCTTTATGGATGTAACCGTCGTATTTATACAGTTACCGATTTACGTCAATGAACAACTGCATCATTTATTAACGAATTAAATCATAAGATATACATATAGTTAAAAAATAGAGATAAAAATAATTGCGTTTATTTTTCCATTACCAAAATTAATGTAACTAATTAGTAAAAAAAAAAAAAAATATATATATATATATGATCAACAAACGAAGGGAACATATGCATGATCGCGCACGATTCATTGAATCTCTTATATGTGAACTGTATATACTTTAAGAAATGATTTTCTTATAAATCTTTAATATGTATTTGTATATGTAGTTGTTTTTTACAAATGTGCGCTTTTAATTTTTAGTTTTTATTCTAATTTCCGATAATATATCTAGATTGAATTTCGATTGTCGCATCTCATCTTGATTCATCTCATATATATATACTATTTACTCTTTAATCCTATTATCTCACCTTTTCTTCTTTTCAATTGTTTTTTTCTTTCTTGCGCAGATGCATATTGTTCTCAATATTAAATAAAACTGCCTTTATATCATTCCGAATCTTAAAATTAGGGCAAGATAAGAAGAAAAAACGTCGAAATATTACTATTTTGCAAATTTACGTACAATTTTTGATGATATTATGTTGAGAGTAATATGTGTTCCATCGAAAGAAATTTTGTTTCATATGCTAATTTACCTTTTTTTGCCATATAATGACATTTGATTTTATACTTTAATTTTTTATCGTCATTTCTATTTATCTGACGAATATTTTTATTGTGTGTTGCTTGGGCATAAGGTACTTGCCAAACTTTGAAGAAAAAACTTACTCAATACAAAATTTATAACTATATATATTTTATATACAAAATTTATAACTATATATAACTATATATATATTTTATATATATATTATTGTTATTACTAAATATCATTATTGCTATTAATAATATTTATGTTAAATTTACATATAAGTTTCTAAATTATTGAAGTACAACATTTAACAAAATATTTTTCTTTTTCTTTTTTCCTTTTGAATTTTTATTGTTAATGTTATTTTTTTATTTATGATGTATTCATTATTTTATATATATATTATATATATATAATATTATATATATATAATATTTATTAAATATGTTATCATAAATATTAATAAATAAATATAAAATAAATTTAATTATAAAAAAAATTTAATAGTATATTATTAATACTGCGTATTAATATTACAGTATTGTTTCGATTTTTAAAATGCTTTAAAAATGTGCAACGAACAACCTAACCTATAAGTTTATATATA